CTTCTCTTGCCTTCAGAGGGGCTCCTGATTCCACGGCTGGGTTTCCCTCAGAGCTCTGATGAGACCGCACCCCAGGACAGAGCCGGGTGTCGACGTTGACCCCTGCAGGACAGGCCCAGGTGTCGATGTTGACCCTTGTCGGACGGGGCTAGGACGAGGATGCATCAGTTCCAGAGCGTTCTAGGACGCTCTGAGAAGGCCGCGTCGCCCGAGACATCCTCCAGAGCTGCCGGATCTCAGAGATTCTCGATCTTTTATCCTCACCCTTTATCCTCGTCCTGGCTTCGTCTAGGCCGCGTCACCCGAGACATCCTCCTGTTCTCAGCCGATGGTTTATTCTTCTCGCCCTGGCTTCGTGTTATACCCTGGGCCCAGGGCTCCAGCTCCACTCGAACCAAGTCGAGCGTCGGAGACGTCTCGCCATGTCTGCGATCCCTGGAGGCCGCTGCGGGGCTCTGGGGTGGTCGAAAACTAAAAAAACAGGAACTAAAACTACAAGAACTACAAACACTAAAACTACAAAACAAATCCTCACCAGCTTCGGGGAACAACAACGACATACACAGAATCTTTCGGAGCCCGCGCTGATTTCTTGGACTGGCGGTTGCTACCCCTGGCGGCGGGCGCCTCTGGCGCGCCGCCCTCGGCGCTCCCCGCGCCAGGGCGGGGGGGTCCAGCGCCGGTCCAAGAAATCCGCGCGGAGCTCCGAAAGTTTATGTTTATGCAGTTGTTCTCAAGCAGTGGCGACTCGTCCTGGCTCGCCTATAGCCCTACCAAACAATGTTCTAAGAACCTTTTGTGTTGTCCACGAAATTGTCTTAGAACATTTCTGGCCGGGACTGTCTTGGTCTAACACATCGGGCTTATGTTCTAAGCATGTTTGGGTTCTGAGAGCATCGCGTGGTAGGACTATAGGAATGCCGGGACGGTCGGTCCCTGCTCAATGTTCAGTGGTCGGGGGGGGGGGGGTCTGCAGGCTCAGAGAGGCAGCCTCGTGCGAGGTTTGTAGGCGAGCGGCGGTCGGCGGCCGAGGTGGACGGAGAGGAGAGGGAGGAAGCGGGGAGAGGGGCAAGCCAGGTGCGCTCGCGCCATGCCTGACATCCCACTTCTTCCACCCATCCTTGTGGAAGTCGACTGGTGGAGAGGAAGCACGCTGCCAAATTAATTTCCAGAGGTCGAACTCATCTTTCAAACATGCTTTAACTATGTAAAAGCATGCTTGATACATGTTTAGAACATGTCTTACACATGTCAAACACATCCTGAGTTCAATGATAGGACAGTTAGAGTGTCCATTGTCGTGGCATCCACAAACCCATCCCTTCCCACTGCGCTGTTGTTTCTGTATCCGCCAACCCGCGTCAGAGCGGACCTAGAACTCCAACGAGGACCCCGATCGTGTCATGCGCAATCGGAACAACAGGAGCTGCGTACATTGGAGGAGGAGGAGGAGGAGGAGGAGGAGGAGTAAGAGGTGGCGGATAAGCTGAGGGATGCGCAGGAGGAAACGGAGGATGAGGAAGGAGGAGGAGGACGACGAGGACAAACATCAGCAGCACGAGCTGGAGTGGACGGAACGGGAGGAGCATGAGGACCCGGGGAAGGCGGAGGAGGGAAATGAGGAGGGCGACAACGATGAATCAGGACTCGGATCCAGAAAAGTGGTCCGCGCTTGATTTCGACCGACGGGAGCAAAGTGCCGATCCGACAACGAGGCTCACGCTGTAGCGGGAGCACACTCGAGAAAGTGCGGATGAGGAGGAGGAGGAGGAGGAGGAGGAGGAGGAGGAGGAGGAGGAGGAGGCGGCAGAGCAGGAGGGCAGGAGGGCAGGAGGAGGAGGAGGAGGAGGAGGAGGAGGAGGAGGAGGGGGAGGAGCGTCGAAGCGTCGAAGCGTCATGGCATGTTCGTCGCCGTTCTTGGGCCTCACGGGGCCCCTCGCCGCCACAGCGGGAGTCCGCTCGCCTCGAACTCCTGGTCGGTGCACGCGCTCCAGGAGATGTCCAAATGGGGCGGTTTTGGGGGAGGAGGGGGGAGGAGGCAGGAGGCAGGATCGCAGAGGCCTAGAGATTGACACAACACCGATATCGGCGGTGTTCCCCCACTGAGGGAAGAAAGGCCCCGATCTCGGTGATGATGGTAATATTCTGGCTTCCAAGGTTGCCGAAATATTACCACCAACACCGGAATCTAGGATCATCGCCCCCCTGTGGAGGCAGCCCTCTGTCTTGGTGTTGGTGCCCATGTCCAGGCCTCCAGGAGGCATGCGAGGATGAGGCATCAGAGGGCAGGGGGGAGGCGCAGACGAGAGAGGTTCGGGGAGCTCATGAGGTCCCTCAGGATTGCAGGGGGGCTCTGGAGGCGGCTCTTGGCTTGGAGGGGAGTTGGGAGGGAGGAGGAGGAGAAGGGACGCCGAGGCGCCATCTCGCCTGCACGCAGCGGCTGCTGGTCGACGACTGCGGGCCCCTCGTGGCGGCGCTGGTGGCGCTGCTGCCGAGCGCGGCCTGGCCCCCATGCGCGCCCGTGCCCGCGGGGTCTTGCGCCCGTCGGGGCTGCTTTGGGCGGGTTGACTCTGGGGTCTGCGCTCGGGTCTCGGGGCCACCGGCCAGCAGTCCAGGCGAAGCGTTCTCTCCGGGGGGCCAGGGTCGGGGCCTCCGTAGGGGCCCGCGGGTGTTCGTTGCCCGGGCGAGAAGGGCCCAACCATGTGGAATTGAGAGTGCCTCGGTGTGGGCACCGCTTCCGGTGGAGCTCCCTACGGGGCCACGCCACGTGTGAGCGGTGCACCGACGTGGGTGGGGAACCGCATGTGGACCCTGCGACTGGGGCCTGCGGTGGGGCTCCGTAATTATGGGGCCACGCAACGTGTGAGCGGTGTGCCGAAATGGGCAGGCAACCGCATGTAGACCCTGCCGCTGGGGCCTGCGGTGGAACTCCCTACGGGGGGGGGCCACGGAACGAGTGAGAGGATGTGCCGTAATTGGTTGGGAACCGCATGCTGGCCCTGCTAGTGGGTCCTTCGGTGGAGCTCCCTATGGGGCCACGAAACGTGTGAGGAGTGTGCCGAAATTGGTGGGGAGCCGCATGTGAACCCTGCCGCTGGGGCCTTTGGAAGAGCTCCCCATGGGGCCACGAACCGAGTTAGGGTGTGAGAAAATGGGCAGGACACCGCATGTGGACCCTGCCACTGGGTGGGGCCTTCGGTGGAGCTCCCTACGGGGCCACGGAACGTGTGAGTGGTGCACCGACGTGGGCAGGGAACCGCATGTGGACCCTGCGACTGGGGCCTTCGGTGGAGCTCCGCATGGAGCCACGAGACGTGTGAGCGGTGTGCCGAAATGGGCAGGTAACCGCATGTGGACCCGGCCGCTGGGGCCTGCGGTGGAGCTTCCCAAGGGGGCCACGGAATGTGTGAAGGGTCTCTCGAAATCGGTGGTGAACCGCATGTGGGTCCTGCCACTGGGACCTTCGGAGGTCCCTACGGGGCCACGAATCGTGTGAGGATGTGCCGAAATCGGCAGGGAACCGCATGTAGAGACTGCCACTGTGGTCTTCGGTGGAGCTCCCTATGGGGCCACGACACGTGTGAGGGGTGCGGGGATGGACTCGGACCCGCATGTGGACCCTGCCACTGGGGTCTTCGGTGGAGCTCCCTTCGGCGCCACGGAACGTGTGAGGAGTGTGCCGAAATTAGCGGGGAACTGCATATGAACCCTGCCACTGGGGCCTTCGGAAGAGCTCCCCATGGGGCCACGAACCGAGTGAGGGTGTGATAAAGTGGGCAGGAAACCGCATGTGGACCCTGCCGCTGGGTCCTGCGGTGGAGCTCCCTACGGGGCCACAGAATGTGTGAGGGGGATGTGCCGACATTGGCGGGGAACCGCATATGGGCCCTGCCAGTTGGGTCTTCGGTGGAGCTCCCCAAGGGGGCCACGAAACGTGTGAGCGGTGTGCCGAAATTGGAAGGGAACCGCATGTAGACCCTGCCACAGGGGACTTGGGTGAAGCTCCCCATAGGGCCACGTGTATTGGTGGGGAGCCGCATGTCCCTTCGGTCGCCTTCGGTGGAGCTTCCTATGGAGCCACGGAACGCTCTGAGGGATCCGCCGAAATCGTTGAAAGAGCGTTTTCTACCGTTACTGGACCCCCCCCCAAGGTTCGCATTGGGGGGGAGGGGGGGATCACCATTCCCCCCCGCCCTCCGAACCGAGGCGGGGGGTGAACGCCCCTCCCCCCCCCCGTTGGGACCGAGGGAGAGACAGAGCTCAAGCAAAGCTCAAACAAATCTCAATCACATGTCAAACGACGCTCCATCAGAGCCAACACACAGCTCAGACAGAGCTCAAGCAAACCTCCAACAAGGCTCAACCAAAGCTCGAGGCCGAGCGGGCGGGCACGGCAAGTGGGGCAAGTGAGAACGGTTGCGCATGACGCCGCCTTTCTCGCACTGGTGCCTGCCCCCCCCGCTGGGCACCGCCTCTCTCGCACAGGGACCTCTGAGGCCTTTCTGGGCTGCTCGCGATGATAATGCTGTTGATGATAATTATGATGCTGCTGCTGATGATGATGAGGATGATGATGCTGCTGATGCTGATGATGATGATGATGATCATCATGGTGGTGATGATGCTGATCATGACAATGATGATGATGCTGATGATGATGGTGATGATGATGATGATGATGATGATGATGAGAATGAGGATGATGACGATGATGGTGGTGGGGATGGTGGTGGCGATGATGTTGATGATGCTGATGACGATGATGGTGGCGGTGATGATGCTGATATGAAGCTGATAATGGTGGTGATGCTGATGATTATGGTGATGGTGGTGGTGGTGACGATGATGCTGGTGACGATGATGATTATGATTGTCAAGCCATTTTGACGATGATGATGACGATGATGATGACGCTGATGGCGATGCTGATGCTGCTGATGATGCTGCTGATGATGATGATGACGATGCTGCTGCTGATGATGATGATGACGATGATGATGCTGATGACGATGCTGATGATGATGATGATGCTGATGATGATGATGATGATGATGATGATGATGATGATGATGATGATGATGATGATGACCGTAGCCATTTTGGCTCAAGCTCGTCGACTTCGAGCAACTCGAAGAACTCAGCAACTCAGCTTACCGAAGTGTCCCGGCCCACGCCACTGACTCTCAGGCGTCGGCCTGTGACGATGAAGGATGGGGTACAGAAGGCAGATGGCTCAGCTGGGTCTCCAGACGCGAGGGATCGGGGGTGGACAGACCTCGGACCCTGACACGTCGATTGAGGAGTTGGCCGTTTTCGGCTTGCGAGAGGGCGTCGCGGCCGTTCTTTTTGCGGGTCCAGGTCCGTCGGTTTCGGTCCCAGGCCGTTTTCACTAAGGGGAGGTGTACTAAAGGGAGGTTTGTTCACCGCCGAAAGGAATTGAAGACGGATGCGAACAAGGGCAAAATGACCACGAATGATAATATTGACAAACTTTCTGTTATGCTGTCAGACCTCACAAAGGACGTCTCACAAACTAAACTTGTTGCGCACACTGCGAGTGCCACTGCCGAGAAAGCGATGGAGATCGTCAGGGAGGTCAAGAACACGGTCAAACAAGTTGAGGATTCGAATGCGGCATTGCACAAGGAAGTACAGGACATCAAGAGCAAACTCAACATTAACCAGGCAGCCTACGGAACACGAAGAATTGCGACGACAGGACCAAGCAGGCGGTAGCATTGGGATTCAACGAACGCTTATCCTCAGACGTCTTAATCAAGAAATTGGAGGGCATCTTATCGAAGATCATTGCTGACATCTCCGACTTGCAACTCAATGCGTTCACAACCCCTACGAAAATGGCAATGATTACCTTTTTCCCACCGCATCTGACAAGGTAAAGTTTTACCAGAACATTGAAAAGTCTGAAACGCGCCATGGTTGGAATATGTATTTTCAAAAACAACCAGACAAACGAGGAGCAGATTGATGTTAGGAGGTTGGGATACACAAAATACTATTTGACAAGGGCGGACAAGCACAAACAGGACGATGTGAAGGTATTATGGACGAAGCGAATGGTTACACTGAGCGGGAAGAAGACTGCAAAGTACGACGTCCACGGACAATGGAAAATAACGAGAGTGGGGAAATCCGTGAAAGCGCAGGTGGAAGAATCTCTAATTATTTTTCGAACAAAAATCAACCCGGACCCTGACAGAGACAGTGACCTGTAGGGGAGGGGGGCACGACAGCCAACGCAGTGACCAACATACTTCCCAAATGGGGCATGTTTTGCCAACTTTGGAACTTGGGACCCCAAAAAGCCATGGGGGACGATCTTCCGACACCCAAGGAGGAGGCCGAGGAGAGTATAGAATTATAGGCTGAGAATTTCCAATCAATTCCTTTCAGGCGCGCCCAGCCTTGGCAGGCGGCACTACGACAGACCCGCAGGTTTCACTGGTGACTGGGCGTGAAGACCTCCAGCATCCACATCTTGAGCCTCCACGGCGCGATTTTCCACTCCAAGGGCACGCTCTTCAATCATATCCTCCCGACTCCAGCTTCCGACCTCTATCACCTCCACGCCCTCCACAACCCGCTCCGACTGTTCGCAGTCCGTTTCCAATTTTCGGCTTCTATCGCTACCACTTCCCTCCAAACCAGCTCCATGTTTCACCGACTACGGGCCCTGGGATGTATCAGAGACCAGGGGAACAAATCTCAACCGCCGGAGGGGGTCGTGGGAAATGCTGTTTTTTCGCGGGGGGCTTCCCTACCAGCTCAATGCAGGCACGCGTCGCCCGTGCAGGAAGCCCGCTTCCAGATCTGCAGGCGGGACTTTCCAAATGCAGGTGCAAATCGCCGCCGGCAGGTTCCAACGAGGAACGACATCGCGATCTTGAGAACCAAGAGAGGACGATAGTCAACATCAGCGGGGAGAGTTCCAGCTTGAAGAGCAACGTCCTCAGCTACAAGGGCGAAGCCTTCAACCTTTCCAACCCTTCTCACTCCAGGCTCCGACTGCGGCTGCCAGTCCCACGACGAACAGTGGTGCGAGCGTGGATGCGAGGACGGGGAAATGTACCTACAACTTTTCACAAGAACGTTCGTGGATTAACATTTGGAGACAGGCTTACGGGGCCATGTGACGAGCTCTGCATTTTGGAATGGCACGCGATCGCAATGCACAAGACGTGAAGGACTGATGCCACATTATTTTGGACTATCAGACATGGGCATTCCTTCTTGGGACAAGTTTTTCAAAGAGTACCAGCGCGGTGTGTTTTCTATTACGCAGGCAGTGTGTTGAAAATATTGTTCTCTTTCGCCCTGCCATTGAGAGGATTGCTTATGTCGATATCAAGAGGGGGCCAATCCATCTACGCACTGTCAGTGCATATTTTTCTTCACAGCGGGTGCGGTGACAAAAATATTCAACGCGCGTGCGACGCATTATCCTTGAAATGCCAGGAAGCACACGCGGCGCGCGTGATG